TTAATAGTGTTTTCAAATTGATTTTGTGCAAAAACAATTGTTTTTTCTAATTTTGGGCGCTGTCAGAACCACCGCAAAGTAATTTTACGTAGTCCTGTGAAGTTTTGTTGAAATCTGTTGAAAAATGTAGGAAATCCGATCCAATATATAAACGTACAGACACACACACAACCTGGGTTTTATAATAAATATGATATATATATATGTGTGTGTGTGTGTGTGTTACCTTTAGTAATCGCTGATAAACCAAACCCAAGTGATTCGTCGTTTTCCCTATTTACTTCAAATTTCTACTCACAGTATCTGAAAAGTAAACTGTCAAAATATTTAAATGAGTGAGGTATTTTCCGTAGAATTCTCAGATCCTGTCATGCTAACACTGTCAATCGCCCGTTTCCTTTGTACCAGCAATCATAATTGGAAAGTTAGCGTTAGATGTTGCGATGTCTTCCTCACACGTAGAAAAGACACAAGCTTATATCGTGCTAGACATGTGCGTAAAGACAGATGTTGGAATATCTACTAGTTTTTTGTTTTTTTTTCTACATTTAGCATATGTATTTTTTCTATAAACAAAACTTTCATTTGCGCTCTTTCAATTTTTCACCTATTTAAATTTTTGGGTATATATCTGTGCCGAGGGCAGATAGTACAGAGTCCGTACACATATAGTGATTTTCCAAGCGTAGCGTAGATGTGGCACAAGGCCGAAAGGTGGAGGGGCACCTAGTGAGGATCGAACTCGCTACTCAGTCGTAATTGTTCTAGCGAGACAAGATTGCTAACCATTACACCAACTCGGTGTCCAGTCCGTTTACATTTATTTGGCAAACTCAAAATCGTTATTTTATATATTAATTCTTTTTTTACGGTTGCTGTGTATATGATATTATCTTGTAAGCAATTGCTGTTTAAGGAAAATGTATGCTTGCTCTTTAATTATGTCATTTTGGTTAGTGTAGGAGATTTTCTGGTAATTTTGTTTCATTTTTTTTACGTGTGTTAATTTAATGACAGAGCCATAATTGATTTTTAGTGTTTTTGTTTAATATTTTGTGACCAGTTCTTGATGGGAGAAGCGTTTTTAAAGAGGTTTAATAAATATCTTTGCTAAGGTTTTTATATTTTTCCCCTATGGTTGTAATATTGAAAATACTTGTGCAATTTTCACAAATAGCTATTGTTTGGGTAGTGTCATTTTTGTTTTTGTTTGTTCGATTTCCGAGCAAAACTTGTAGCTACTATTCGGCGTATCCCACTTAATCTTTGCAATAAACAAATTCGCGCGCGGGAGATTATTTCTTCCCAGTGAAAATATAAAGATTTCCTGTAATCCCTGTAATCATCGCCTGTCATGCTCATCTACGTATTTTTTCTTGTAGGCCGTCTTATCGCGAGCTGCTTTTCTGCCTAAATAGGTTTTGAAAAAAAAAAAACTCTTAATCGACTTTTCCTCTCCATAGTAAGAGGTGAGGTGGATCTGTACCTTAAAAGATAGTTTATAACTTCTGAAGACGCAGTCCACCTCAAAATTCGACTTAAATGTCAACTAACTTTGAATTATCCCGTCTAATTTGATTCATTTGCACAAGTAATTTAAAATTTTTCTCAGTAGATATATTCACTTTACTGGATTTCAATATATATATATATATATATATATATATATAATTATTTATTTAAAAATTATAACATAAATGTTATAAAATCACAACAAAAATAGCCATTTTGTTTCAACACCTCTGGTGTCTCATCAAATGATGATGTTGAATATAGATTGTAGAATAAAGGTTTTAAAAGGTTCAAATTAATTAAACACTCCTCGTAAGGGGAAACGCTGTCACATCAGCTGAAATGACCAATCAAAATACAAGTATACGAGAATTCAAAAAACTTGACAACGAAGTAAGGTTATAAGAACTAATTAAATGCTTTAAAGCCGGGGTTATACTAAAATAGAATTTATTCTAACTGATAAGTATTAAATTGTACGATGAAATTTGAAATTAAAATTAAAAACTACTCATTTCAAGAATGTAAATTTAATCTATATTAAGTTTAAAATTTTAAAATTATTGAGGAAAAAAGAAAAAATACATATGTTATTCTATTCATTTTGTTTCTATTGAAATTACGTTGCAATAAACTTTAAGATCGACTGCCCTTAACTTAATGACAACATGGATACAAGTGTAGACATGGGATTATGACATCTTGCGAAAGACAATACAAACACAATCAGATTATAATGCACAAGCACGCAGACATATTTAGATATATACACACACAAAAAAAAAGTGACGAGACAAGAAATTTTACAAAAAAATTTAAACCACATATCTACACAATGAAATGTGCATGCAAGTTACTATACACACCGAAAAAGACACGTACATAATACCTACATACATTGACATAGACACTCTGATATAACGAGAAAATCAAGAATATTCAACGATTGAAGGTGTTATTAAACGAATTCTAACCACATATTAAAATATAACTTATATGGGCCAATATACATAGATAAAAATGGTCTAATAGAACAGAGAAATAAACAATAGGTAAAGAAAGGACATTAACATAGATATATACGCATAAAAATAACACCATCTAATATATAAAAAACGAAAATTCCAAACACACATATACGCCTTATTGTACATTAGGTGAAAGAAAATAACTACCAACAAATATGTGTACAGTGTACACATTCATCACTACAGACAGAAGTACAGAAAAGCCAACCTATAGACAAACATATACACACACACACATATATATATATATATATATATATATATAAGCAAGCATAAATATATCAACCTACACAGCAACTTAAAAAAGTAAACAAACCAAATATATATATATATGCATACATATACATAAAAAAAACTCTGTATTGAGCACTCTTAAGAATAGAAATTGTTGGTTATTGGAATTTATTCCATATACACCAATCATATATATATATATATATATATATATATATATATATATATATATATATATATATATATATAATGAGGGAGTGAGTGTAATTTCAGTATTATAATTGTTTGTATTATTCTTGCTTCCTTCTCCAGTAGCTGAATTTCATTGAATTTTCTATCTAATTGGTCATTCTTGTTGATTAAAATCCCACTTGGTTGATTCGTCAGACTATAAATTTTGGCCAAGTAGTCTAGCTTTGAATTCGCCCATTTAAATGTAAGCTATCTGATTCTTTAGCCAACTAAATTAGTTGTCTGGAGTTGCTTTGTTGGGTTGCCACATTATTTGCCTAAGGAAAATCCTTACGTAACAACGTTAGTCTTAATTCTCCAATCGATTTTATTCTTATAATTCAAATATCCTCGAAGTTAAAACTTAAATGTTGTCATTTCCCTAAACTTACTCTAATACTAATAATTCGAAGCTAATCCTACAGTCTTAACCCGATCTTAAATTTACTTTTCTCGTTCAAGAAATGGAGCGTGGAATGTAAATTGAAAGACGATAGATTGTCTTGACACAAGCAACGAAAGAAACTGGACAAAATCTTCATCGTATGCATAAATAACAATGCTTTTTACTGACAATGTTCTCTATTGTTTTTATTATGTGACAATCCAATTAATTGCTAACTTAATTCTTCAGGAAACAACAGCTATTAGGTTAACTATATATCTCAAAGCATCTACGCCTACGCGCCTAGATTCGATCTTCTAACCCTCCTTTTTTTAAAAAAATAGGAATAGATATGTCCATCGCCTGGTTCATACTCTTTTCCTATCATTTGAATAGGAAAAAAGTTTTGTTCCTCGTTTCCTGTTTAGGATGGGATTTTAGGTTCCTCCTCTTGAGGATTTAATAAGGGTAGATGTCATTAATTTATGGAGGCTACGACTCTTCATACTAACAGAACTGGGGTGACTTATGTGGTTGATTGCTGCATCCCGACTCGTAGTAAGAAGCTTAGGTAACACTTAGCGAGGCAATTCTGAACAACATTTTCATATTGCAGTGTCATATCACACTTCTGTTTCTGCAGTCTGCGCCAATTTCCGGCCAGCTCATGTTAACTTTGACGACCGGCAGAGCTACTTTGATTCTTGGCCTTTTCCACCTTTTAAAAACGTATCATGACCGAAACAAATGAAACAAAACTAAACCAGCTTGCTAAAAAAAAACAAAACGCTATTGTTATTAAATTTTAGGACATAACCAACACTTTGTCATTTCGTCAAATGCGAAAATTCTCCAATTAGCTTTATCGCTAGGTCGGGTTTTACTTTGATTAAAAAGTCATTTTTGGTAACAAATACAAAACCTCTGTCTATATCTCTGAGTATTATGATTATTTACATTATTCGGATTGTTAAAGGGAAATAACTGAGACATCTGGAAGAGGCATGGCACGTGAAACTAGAACAATCTACCCCTATGAATGAAATAATGGGTTCGGTTCGAAATTACAATCATCTGAAGAAGGCCGGAGCGTACGACAGCCGAAACGTTGTGAATGGCAATGAAGATGAGGGTAACAATCCGAATAATGTAAATAAAAAAAATAAAAAACAGATGATGTTTTAATGGCATTTCTACCTTGACGTAAGTGATTGTGGATCTTCACAGCTTCCTTTTTAATTTATTTGTGAATTGCTATGAATATTTAGGTAATATGCTGGAGATGTTTCATGTTGCTTCTTCATTCAGTGTTTTCTCTTCTGTTAGGACGGTTATCAACCAAACCTCGGGAGCCCAGTTTATCTAGCAAGTTAACCTACAACTGAGGGGGAGAGTAAGCGGATGCTTGTGGGTTTTTTTTTTGGGGGGTTGTTTTGTTGTTTCTGTTTGTTGTTTGTGCTCTTTTTGTTTGTGTTTATATTGTTTGTGTTTTTGTTTTTGTTTGTGTTTTTTCCAAGACGCATTTATGCGGAAGTTGATGCTACAGACTAGCTCAGGATTTGAACTCAATTCTCTGATTTCACTTTTCGTGTCTGTTCCTTTTGCTGCCAGCAGCTATATCACATTGAAACACTAGTTTCCCAAAGATCACCGAAGTTAAGCAACGTCGAGTCTGATTAGTACCTAGATGGGTGACCGCTTGGAAATACCAGGTGCTCTAAGATTGGATCGATGATGGCTCGGAACCTTTAATCGGAGAGCCGAGTTCCAATTTCATTTGAGTTTGTTACGCGCAAATATCCTTGAGGAATGTAAGAATCCATCTCTTCTCCCTAACTATGGGTTAATTAGTAAGATTTTTATCTCAAAAACATTCTTAAAATCTAAATTGTCCGGCCTTAAATAACCGTCCTCTTGGTGTAGATATATCATAATTCTTCCGTTACTTGTACCTGCGCTTGTTTACTCAGACTTTGCAATAAAGTTATTCGTTGCTTACCTGTTGTTTTTTTTTGTTTTTTGTTGTTGTTTTTTTTAATTCAATGCGTCAAATTTTCCAAGCCTTCTTTCCTCTTCAACATTTCAGCTGTTATTTGTTGATTGTCACTAACAGTTTTATTATAGGTGGGCTAATGTCTGGCGAGCTAGTTTATCTAGCAGCTACTTCTGAGTAGTAAGTTCGATCCTAACTAGCTTCCCTGTAATGGCCTTGTGTAAAACAATGCTAGGCCGAGTAAATAAATTTCTTCAGAGTTTCTATTTACAGAATATGTGACATGTTCTTCAAATAGTATTCTCAACATTCATCGGGAGAATCACATCTCTGCTGCCTCCAAGCCTTTTTCATTTGTGCAGTGAATTCTCTAATACATAGCCGCGTAGACATCACATAGCTTTCTATCATTTTGTCGCTAATATGTATTCCATTATTCTAATTTTCGATCGACTGATTTGTCCAATAATTCTGTCAATATTCTTTCTGAATTTGCCATCGATTGTATCATCTGTGTAGCGTTAGCCCCTAAGATTTCGTCCACTGAGAATAAATTCTGGTAGGTCTTAGAATACTCTCTCCGTACGCGACCAATATTTCCAGTGTGCAAACACGTCCTCCTCGCATTCCTCTTCAATTACTATTATTTTTCATTTTGTTTATTTGTTCTTGTATATACTCTTAATTTGTTGTTTATTCCCATAAAGTCCTTTCGGTTCCGTAGGAGGGAATAAAACTGAAGAACCTACCTAACAAGTTTATGTAAATGGATAACCGAGACAGGGCGATATAAGTAGACAAACGTTGTTTAGAAAGATCTTGTTTTTTGGGGGGTTTTGGGGATTTTTACTTTTGGGGTTTCTTGTTACTTTTTGTTTTCTGTTTTTTTTAGTTAGTTTTTGATTTTGAATTTGTTTTTGTTGTTTTTTAGGGTTTTAGTTTTTTGTTTTTTGTTATTTTTTGTCATTTTGTTGGTTTGTTTTTTGTTATTTTTTGTCGTTTTGTTTTATTTGTTATTTTTTTGTCGTTTTTCATTTTCGTTTTGTCTTTTTCGGTTTGTTTGTTTTTTTTTTTTTTTTTTTTTTTTTTTTTTTTTTTTTTTTTTTTCGGTTTGTTTGTTTTGTTTTTTCGTTTTTGTTTGTTTTTTTGTTTTTTTCACGACATATCAACCTTAATGGGTTATTTAATGCCAATAAGGTTTTTTATTGCGGTTAAATTTTTTTTCAAATATGTATTTCTGTTAATTTTTTTTCTAAAAATATGTTGCTGTTATTAAGAACTATTTTTACACTTTCATAGTTTTGACCCCAGTTTAGTGGTTAACTATTTGTCCATAGCTAGGACCTAACAGGTGCTACGATCGCGATTGGCTAATGCTGCCAGATATGGAAAGCCATAATCGCCAAATTTCTGAAGTGAGGCGACGCAAAAACAAAGTTGTTCAGACTAGTCTATTCCGTATGGCGTGCTGATGACATTAGCCGTGTCGTTCGGTATATTAGCAACCATTTCTCTTTAGATCCTATTTTTATAAAAAAACAAAAAATTTTCTTGCGAATTATAAAGCCGCAAAAGACTAAAGAAGTGATCGGCCTAAAAGCTATGCTAACAACAATAGTAATATCAAAAATTGGTTAGGAAGCCCGGATAATACTCAAAAGAAACAACTTGGTGTTTCGCCTTTCTAAAGATTTACATTACTAATCCTCTGAACGAAAAATGATTGTTACTTTCAAAGAACAATGTATGCGAAGTGGGAATTGTAGGTAAGTTTAATGTCCGGACCCACTCTATTTACTTCCCCTTGAGGATACGATGATGAGGACCAACATGGCCGACAAAGATCTGTTACAATGACCTCGTCTTTCACTTTGCACTAAAAATGTCCGCTTAATCAGTTTTTTTTTTCTCTGACTTTTATGAGGAAAATAGTTAAGCGTTGTTGTTAGCTGTAGTCCACTTACTTCTTTTCTAAGATATAATTTCATCACTGACCACTTCGAAATTACCACATCAAAAATGTTTTATGGGGATATAAGCCATAATATTTTAAGAGACAGAATTTTTTCCCTCTTATTCTGTATATAACAAACGTAGCTGAATAAATAGGATGTGTTTCTTAATTTTCACACACCTAACATCGCATATTTACGAAAAATGCGCAAACTCCTTTCGGTGTTCAATAACACGCTTAAAAAAAAAAAAGGTTTTGTTATGGAAATAGGTATGTGCAAAATTTTCCCAAACCAGCTTTTAGGAAATAGACTGAATCTTTTTCCCTAATACGAAGTCGCTACAGGAGATTGGCAATTGCCCTCATGTCTTTTATCGAGGTCAGTAATACGTTTTTCTTTAACCCCCACCCCGGTGTAGTCGTGTCTATACGTTCTCGATTCTTTTTATGCCCTTCTGAGCTTGAAACTAGTTCAATTGTCAGTTCGTACATCCTTTAGGTTAGATCTGGCTGTTAGCCACTGCTCGGGTACTTCAAGGTACCTCAGTTTCTTAGTTAATCTATTAAAAACAAATAAGAATAATTCGTCAGAAAATGAAACTTTTTTTCCCAAAATAATTGGCGGGGAAGGTGTTAAATTTTCATTTTTTTTTTTTTTTTTTTTTGTCTTAAGCATACGTGTTTCTTTAAGGCTTCGTTTCTTATTTTTCACGAATTTTCAGCTGTCTTTTTCTGATTGTTATCAACTGCTGCTTGTGATCAATATTTCTTTTTAAAACATTCTTATTTCTCACATGTTCTGTTCATTATATTCTCAGTCAACGGTAGTACCACATCTCACTTTCTAATTATTCTGCATTCGCTACCATATTGAAGAACGGACACTAAACAATATTCTTTAAAATTGGTTTATAATTTTTTTAAATAGTTTGAAAAATGCTGTAAAAGTTTGCACACAGCTAAAAAAAAAAAAACACGTTATCGTTTATTGCATGTTGTTGGATTCGGAACTGCTAGGTAACCCTTATAAGCTGGAAAAATACAAAGAATCTAATTTCCTGTATAGCATTTCTGGTGAAACGGCTGGCCTGGCACCCACAAAGTCTGGAGACGATTTGATTCGGAGAACTTTAATTTCTGGGTGAAAAGGTAATCTCTATTCGAAGTCAGATCAGTATGTGTTTTCTTTTTTACGAAAATCTCTTCCAAAAGCGAAATCTGAGGGTTTCAATGGAGAAAATAATGGCCGGTTTATATTATTGAAAAACGTTACATCAAAACGTGAATATGTGAAACTACTAAAAACTACCGAAATTAGTAGATTTTACTATTGTTCTGCATGTCTGAATTTATTAGTGTTATATTTTGCAAACAAGACAGAACTTGATAAGCGTTGGTCAACCAAGATCACAGAGGTATCTGTTATCAGACGATCTTCTTCATTTTACCGATGTATTTCCTTGTTCCTCTTTTCCCTGTTCCTGTTATTCACCCCTCTATCGTTTTCTAACCTACCTTAATTATTTTTAATAAGTTTTCTTTATGTAAACGTATATTTAATTTGTATATTATTGTTTATTCTACCAATTCTGTACTGTTATATATAAAGTACTTTCTCAATACGACATCCGTGGAATTTCAAATAGTCCTGCAAACTTTAATAAGTACAGAATGTGTTTCGTTTTTCTTTCTTTCTCGTGAGATAGGCTGAGATCATTTGTAAATTCACAGAATCTTACCAAATTTTTGGGACTTTTTGAAAGATAAGAATGTCGTTGACTGGAAATACCTTTTTATTTTACAGGGAATTGATTTAAATTTATTTCTGGTATATAACAAAATTACACGTCTATTGAGAGGAAATTGCAAGACTATATCTATGAAATTGTTATGATTTATAAAGAATGCAGAAACCAGTCTAAAACAATTGATTAAATCTCCTCAACAAAATTAAAACTATTCCATTTTATTAATGATTTTTATCTTTCATAGAATGTCGAATCTTCACGTTTAATTAAGTAAAGTTTATGAAACCAGAATTGCTTCATTTTATTCATTTAAATATAAACATTACCACAACGTTTCTAAGTCTGTCACTAACTGAACCGATTGATCCTGCTATGTCCTGAAAATAAAACAAACTTTCTTTGGCATTATTTTGCCACTGAGTCTCAAAGATGACAAACTAGAGGATGTTCTACTGTTGAAAATAATCAACTGAAGATGCAGATTGAAGAAAAACAATTTCTTATTACGAGTTTGAAAAAGAAATATTATTTGAAACTTTGAGACTAAATTTATATTTACATTTTTTCTAAGACAAATGATTAATTTCCTAATGACTTAGCACTTCAATTTAAATCTTTATTTAAAAATAAAGAACTTTTTATAGATAGTGTAATGCGGGCAAACAAACAAAAATTATACAGATGCATAAATTCGAATAACACAACAAATGTCACCATTTTCAGCAAATATATTTTGTATGTGCATGCAACTTTCCCATCGAAATCATTGTGGTATTCATGATGTATATTAGACTTAAATTTATTTAAAATCGTATGGAATAATAGATGTAGATCATATATATAATATATATATATATATATGAAAGTAAATCTTCTCTCAAACATTCTTTTCTCATTATATATATATATATATAATCTTTTCCAAAATACCATTTTAACTTTTTTTTATTTTCTTGTTCAGCCATTTTGTTTCCAGCCGTGATTACCTAATGCTACTCTCATTTCCTATCTGCCATTCTTTG